GGAAAGAGGGACAGAGACAGTGTGGGCAGGTGTCGGAGCTCTTTGGCTAGGGTGGTCCAGTCTGAGAGGGTCTCTGAGCAGAGGGAGGGAAGGGAGAGCCAGCACAAACACCTGGTGAAGGAGGAGGAGAAACACGGAGGTGGAGGACTGGGGTCTGCGTGTGGTCAGTCTCTGAGAGTTTCTGAGAAGGGGAACCCTGGTCTGACTCAGGTTTTACCAGGCTCACGCTGGTGGCCTAGGGGGGCAGCCGAGGAGGGCAAGCACGGCCAACAGTCTCCTCTGTTGACCATCATTTAACTCTCAGGTATGGCCTGGACTCACTAACGGGTGACATGTCATGCCTCACGGGGAGGACATGTCATGTTTTCAACAATGACAGCTTGGGAGCAGGGGACCTGAACGGCTGGCCGTCCTCCCCTGGGTCTCAAGGCAAGGTCTGGCCAGGACATGGCAGCAGCTTCCGCATCCCAGGGATCCCTCTCCTAACGTGGCTACTTAATCATTTTTATGTGCATAGGAAATTCACCATCAGCTTCTCTTTCAACACAGACAGAATAAAATCTCTCCTCCAAAATGAACTGAGAGAAAGCTTACACTCCAACATGACCATAAAAACGTATTACAAACCTCACCTACAACTTCGGCTCAAGGACGCTTGCAAAGACTAGCATGTCTGATGAGATTCGATATAAGAGCGCTTGATACCAGCCTCGTGCGGATAATAAACAGACAACATAAAATATCAGTACTTATTGTCTTCAAACTATACATCAACAGAGGGGCAAAAAAAAAAAAAAAAAAAAAGGAGCCTTAAATTTTATTCTCTGCAAGTTTGGAAAACATGAGGAGGAAAGGAGAAAGGCTTTGCATATATTAAATCACTTTGCTCCCTGAGGAATAATAAAAATCTTTTAAGTGTGGACGCCTTTGAGATGCATGCATTGTACGCGAAGGAAAATACCGTCCAGTGAAACACGGCCGTAATTTTGAACCCATATTGACAAGGAGTTATTTTTCTAGAAAAAGGAAAAAGTCATCTCTTAGCATTCATATCCTCTGTACTTACCATACTGAAGGGCTTTGAGTGGAAACCAAAACAGAATAACTGAGTGGAAGAGGCCATTTAAACAATGAACCCAGAAAACCTGAGGGAAAACAAAAATCCATGAGAACCATTTGCGATAAACTTGCTCCGTGAACTCTGACCTTTCCTTTTTATCTACGGGCTAGATTCACAAAACGTGTTTCTGTCGGGGCCACCACTGTGAATTAATAGAACTGACAGACACTTTCTGCCTCTTAGACTTTCATGGGTCATTTATTGATTTTTATGTTACTCAAAATGTTTTTTCAGCTTCCCTTGAATTTTCTTCTACTGCTTCAAAACCAAATGATCGAAAGTGAACATGTCTGCCCGAAAAAGGAACTAAACATGGAAAATACGTGCAGATCCTGACATTCCTTGAGTGGGACTATTTTCATAATTCCAAAAGAGCCTTTTACAAAGATTGTAGTTCGGGGTAAAGCCAAAACCAAAACAAAAAGATTGCACTTTGGGGAAATCCTTTGCCTTTGCCGTGTGTGAGACAAGTGTGAACTTTCTGATAGTAAAGATACACTGCTTTTTCTATGTAGTGACCTATCTGGCTGTCTAAATATACAATACACTCGTTGCATTAAAAATAGCAAATACAACATTTAAATCGTGAGGTCATCAAAAAAAAACAAAAAAAAAAAAACAAAAACAAAAAACCAGCATCGTGACTATGACTGAATTTGGTAAAGGTTTTCACAATTTTATAAACACCTGTCAACACCGGGTTTCATATCATTATAACACCATGTACTATTAAGAGTTGTGACTTTATACGTCTATTGTATTGTAGGAAGGTGCTCGTATCGGGGCCCACTGTCTTCACAACATGATGTAAAAGATTAAGTTATAGCCATGCTGTTTAGCATTCTTCCAGCTCTCCGAACAGTGGTAGTTTTGCTTCTTGCAAACAAAAACGGATGCTAAATAAAATGGGCACGTATTAATAGTTTTAAGCTGTTCAAACAACAGAAATGAAGTTGCCTGCCTCCCAAAATTTTCCACTGCGATCTCAATCCCCTTTGTTAGCTCCCCACCCCAGCCACGCCGGATTGTATGATCCAATTTATGCTTCAATACATTACACATTTGAACTTGTGTTACTCATTAACCTTTGTCTCTTCTCCTCACTATGTCATTATCGCCAGTTTTTATTTGACAGAAAGCACAGGTGGGTGCAAGAAAAATTAGTTCTACTTTTCCATTTTCCTGACCGATACTTATTGTCACATGCTAATCCTTTAACCCCTGTCACGACCTCAGAACCTCCGACCCTTCTTACCATAACAAACCTAAGCGTCCTCCATTCAGGGCCACAAAGCTTCTGCACTTGGGACCCAGGGCAACCGCCTGTGTTACAACTATGCATTTTGTTGCCGTTTGTCCCTGAATTTTAAAACACTGAGCCCGGATTCAAGCAAAGAATTTTCCACGGACGTGATCAGGAAAATCCATAAACCCGGGAGGAAACTGTTGGCCACTTGTGTATATAAATATTCAACTAGAAAATTCAAATAGATATAGAAATTGCATAGACCTGTTCAAGATGATCTGATGACGTTTCTAAATGCCTGGGCTGTCCAGGGAATGAAGTACTTTGTCTACGACAAAGGGTATGAGAGGGACCGAAACTTCAGGACACTGCTGTCTGCCGCACCCCACGCCTGCCACGGAACCATGTTCAAGTTGCCGTGGACGAAGGGATGAGAGGATGTGGCTTTGCAGGAGTGATTTTGGCTAATCCTGTAAGGATCAATTTCTGTTTTTATGCAAGCGTGACATGGCCAACTTGTGGCAGGGAGGTTAACTCCAGAGCGATGGCATATGGGGACCCGTGTCAAAGGTGGACGTGACTATCCAGGTGGGTGAGAATTCCTGTTAGCATACCAGTACCCTTGGGACGTTCCCTGTTCAGATCACTTTTTCAGGGAAATAAGAGCTCACAGTCCATAGCATCTGCTCTGATTGGGGCTTTCTGTGAGTTGAAAACACCCACGATAGGTCATGAAAAACATTACAGGAATGTGCTGGCCTTTGTCACAGACTGGGCACCATGAAGAAATAAAAAATTCAACACTAAAACACCAAAGCACAGATGTGACATATTATCAACTGTACTAGTTTTAAAAGAGGCCACTAAAAACACTTTTAGAACCAATGGTAGAACTTTAAAACAAAACAAAACAAAACAAAACAAAAAACAATAAAACCCCTGCTTTTCTACTTAAAAAAAAAAATCCACTTATTTAAAACAATGCCATCAAGTAGCGTGTGTGTACTGCAGAAGGAGAACCTCTGGATAGAAACTTAGCACAATCACTTACTGTGTGAGGCTGAGACTGAAACACCTGTTTCCCTTTCTTCTCTCGGTGTATAGGATATAGGATGTTGGAGAGCTTTAAGAACTGCTCATTTTGGGAACCAGCAGTTAGCGTAATGGCTATGTTGCTGGACTCCCACGTAGTTAATCGTGGTTCGCGTCCCGGACCTGGTGGCTTAAAACTCATGCCGGGCGCGTGTGCATGCATGCCCAAGATCCCAAGAGGAGAATGGAGGAGAAGGGATTGCGGCATGGCCTTCCCCCCTGGGGGGTGATTTCTCACTTTCTGTCTCTATGTCTCTCTGTCTGTCTGGCGAGCTCACGTGCCCTATAGCGAAAACCTCTCCAAAAAAAAAAAAAAAAAGGACCGCTCATTTTAAAAGTATCCTATAAGTTTGCATCTAATTATCAGTAACGTGCTGCTAAAAATGCACCACATTAAAAGGCAACAGCTATGTGAAGCTACTACTAAGAAAATAGACAAATGTTAGTGTTTCAATATGGGATCTACCTTGATTATAGAAACTTCTTCCCCCTCTTCATACTAGACATCTGAGACATAATTTGTTGAGACAAATTACTCAACAAATACGGGTGGAAACACTTAGAATGCATGCTTGTAGGAGAGTAAACATGCAGAAGATGAGGTATGTTTTATTGCTGGGATGCATACACACCACATTATCACAAGAGATGACCATGGCCCATGGCTTGTTATGTGGACTGAAAAATGTGATTTTTGAATCAACAGGTTGGCTATTTTATCTTGTATTTGTCATTTTACGGCTGGGACATGTTGAGTATTGTGATGAAATAAATTACTGCCTAGACATTTTCGTTTTTGTGCTCGGCATGACCAAGTGAAAACTGCAATGAGAACCAAGTTAAATTTTATGAAACAGAAAATGAGTAAAGAATGCTAAAACACCTCCCACCTTTTTACACATGCGAAGCCAGCTCCTCTTGTTCTAGATGCACCCCCCACCCCCAGCCCCCGTGAGGAGCCAGCATTTCCCGACAGCATTGCAAAGACGAAAGACAGGGGACCCAAGGACAGAGACGTCAGTATTTCAGGCCAGAGTTACGGCTGCCTCACAAACCCTAGTGCACGGTGGTTATGTTTTAATTTTGCAACACAAAGAAACCAAACTGAACAACCAATAATAATCCCTCTCTGGCCTAGCAGAATTTAAGAAATGCAACTCGCTTAGCTGGCACCCTAAGGTTTTCTCAGACTAATGTCTTCCTAGCTTTAGAAAAACAGGTGCCCCCATAGATAGTGATTGAATGTTTAAAAAAATAATGAAAATAATAATAATAATAATCTGAAAAAAATAATGACAAGCTATTTGATGATGATGATGAAGTGGATAGTAATGTCTTTGTCTTGACTGATATGCATGGTAATCATGCTGGAAAAAAAATGTAATACATTCTAAGGATATATGTGATTCAATGTAATACACCAAAGATTATGATAATACTAAATACAATTAAATTAAAAAAAAACAGGTGCCCCACATGAGAGCAGTGCCAGGGCACTGTACCCTCCTACCTTGGTGTTGAAGTCCAGGGCGTTCTGAGATGTTTTGTATAATTCAGGATACTTCAACATATTCTCTTTTCTGCATGATCGCTCAAATATTCCAAGAGTTAAGGGAGGCATTGCTGTAAACATCTGAAGGGCACAAACTGGTCATTAGCCAAGTAGCCAAATGCAGGGTGAATCTTTATCTCAAAGTGCTGATCAAATGGGAATTATCCAGCATCCTACACTTACCACATTATAAAGGCCTATACACCATCGCTCAAAGAGGATCTGTCCAGAGAAACCATTCACGAACGCAAACCAGATCTAGGAAGAAAACAAATTAGAACACATGAACATAAACGCAGGCTGAGACTCAGGGGTATATTCAACCATTGGATAAAACAACATTAACTTACTATTTTCACTACTTCCTAGAGACTGGCTTTTGTAGGGGCATAATTTTTCATTTAAAAGAATGCTTTCACAAGCTTTGGTTATGTACGTAATAACTAGTTCTACTTGTTGAATCAAAAGTACCTATATGAATAAGCGATCACTGATTACAAAAATCCAATATTTTATTTCAAAAAAGCACTTTAGGGAATAAATATACATTTATGCCATTACTATTTTACTGTTTTAATTCCCCTTTAAAATATGTATGAGGATCTAGAATGGCTACAGAAGATTATTGTACATTATAAAAGTAACACTTGTTTATAGAGAAATAATTTCCAATAATACCACAGCCACTATTTTCTTCTACATTGGCTGTATTTATATAGTGCATTTGAATATACTAACAAATTTACCTTACTCGAAACCTACCGTAAACAGTCCTCCTTAACAGTCTAAAAATACGAATTTTCTTAAGCTGCTAGTGGATGTACAACCCATATGGCATGAATGTAACTGCTTTGGACATTTTGCTAGTATAAATAATACAAATAATTCTGAACTGAAATAACTACATATCTCTTTTTTCTTTGAATGAATTCTTAAATAGTAGAGTTACAAAGCAAAGTATATGAGGTTGTTTTTTTTTGTTTGTTTGTTTTTTTCCAGTTCTAAGAATTCTGTCATTGTAACGTTAACTTGGAAAATATTTTTAACTTAAACGCTATGCTTTGGTAATATCAAACAGTTACTAGAGCATAATGTTTTATATACTTTACAGTTCTCTTTAAAACAGAAACCTTAACTTTGGAACAAAACTAAGGGGCAATCCAGAGAAGGTTTTCTCCAACATGTTTAAAAGATCCGGAAAAATGAAAGTGACTATTCGGAAGTTGATACCTATAGTAGTTTTTTTTTTTTTTTTTTAAAAAAAGCAGACCTAAAAGACAATTAAAATCAAATAATTTTGGAAGAGTAAAAAGGCTGACCCAGCAATGAGATTACACAAACACAAACACAAAAACCGTTGGAGGAAAGCAGCCTTGACCTGGGACGGGACTGAATTTCTGAATCCAGTCACAGGGCCTCTGCTACACTTCACGTTTCATTTAACCTCATTATGGAAGCATGAATTGCTACAAATTCACCATTTATCAATATGTACCCAGGCTGGCCTCCTCATGAAGAGTTTCTGTAACCACACTGATCTGCTCCCTGTTTACCACGGAAGGGAATCATTGAGCATGTACAAAACCCAATGTCTGCTTCATGAGATGGAAAACAAAACAAAGCAGACATCGCACGTGAAAATAAGTCCAAATCATGTCAGGGCTGAAACACACATTAACACAGAACAACAACAGAAGCCCAGAAATCAGAGTCAAGCCTAAAATCCTTCAAGGCTTCGCTACGTGTAGTCGCAAGATACATCCATACATACATAAAATAAAAATAAAAATAAAAATAAAAGAAAAATAAAAGAATATTTGGCCCAACCAAGGAGCCAGATCACCGGCATATGCAAATGTTAAAAAAAAAAAACAAACAAACCTTAGATCTTCATGGTTTATTCTTTGGTTGTGAATATGTACAAACCTGACAAAACAGACTTGAATGTTCTCTTGCTGTGTTTTCTCATTTGTGAGATGTGGATTATGCAAAGACATGTTTGGGATACTCTGGGAAATGTAATATTTTCCCTAAGGCAACTCTGATTTATTTATTAAAGTAGCAGAGCCTAAGAAACTCTTTCAGATTTCTTAGGGTGTGATATAAATATGAAGAATGTTTAAACACAAACGTTCAATGACGACCTCTCTAATCCATGAAGACATGGTTGAATCTTTGTTGGTCTGGAGAAAGCCAAACCTCTTTGCATACCAAATTGTTCCGATCAGCAGCATCCAGTCTAGCAGGTACAGTGCTAAGTGCACTTGCAAGCGTCCACACTTATACTATGAACAGTCTACGTGGACCGATTTGTGTGTGGGGACACGTTTGTACGTGTGGACGGTCCCCGAGCTGCTCCCTACACACCACTCAGTGTTGATTCAAAGATACCATGAGCTAGAAATTGAAGACCTTCCCTCAGAATCAGTACATATTTACAGAAAGTTTCAAATGCAAAATAGTTATCAAATACACCACCATATCTGAGTCCCCTGTGTATTTTAAAATGAATACGTTTAAACATTTTAGGACAGTAAATGTGTAAGTAGAAAGGGATCCAAACTTTTCCTCTTTTCTTTTTCTATTTTATTTTTCCTACAGAAAGGCTGGTGGACATAGTTTTAGAAATTTACTTCCTAGGGAACCAGCAGTTAGCGTAATGGCTATGTCGCTGGACTCCCACGTAGTCGACCGCGGTTCGTGTCCTGGACCCGGTGGCTTAAAACTCACGCTGGGTGCGTGTGCGTGCGTGCCCAAGATCCCAAGAGGAGAATGGAGGAGAAGGGATTGCGGCGTGACCATCCCCCCTGGGGGGTGATTTCTCGCTTTCTGTCTCTATCTCTCTCTCTGTCTGTCTGGTGAGCGCACGCGCCCTACAGTGAAAATCTCTCCAAAAAAAAAAAAAAAGGAGTTTACTTCCTAGATTTTAAAAAGGGACGAGATAAGAACAGAATCTTTCCATGGGTATCCTACACCTTCACAGAAACCCTTTGGCATTGAACTTTATGTATTTAAATGAGAAAGAGAAGGGTTTTAACAGTATAATAGTCTATTAGAGGGCTGACTTCGGGTTAATCTGGGATTTATATAGTTCAATGCCATATTGGGGACCGATCCAGGAAAAATTAAATAGCATTTAGATGACCATAAACATATGAAAGGTCCTCATTTCACTATAGGGAGGCCATGGCTATAGAAAGCAAGCGCCAGTCCCTTTGGGGAGGTACCAAGGTTATTGAAATTCACAGGGACTATCTCACAGCATGACTTGCTGGAAAACTATCAACTTGGTGACTTTAATCAAAGCTCCTGGAAATCAGAAATACTATATTGCTTTGGGGTCTTACCCCAAAACCTGGATGCAATCAGTCACTTGAAAGAAAAGTCTTATTTTGCTAGGAAGGAGTTGGACGTTTTAGAGAAATAGGAAAATCTTAGAAAGAGCCAATAATTGGTCTCCAGCAGTTAGTGTAATGGCTATGTCTCTGGACTCCCATGTAGCCGACTGTGGTTCGCGTCCCGGACCCAGTGGCTTAAAACTCACGCCGGGCGCGTGTGCGTGCGTGCCCAAGATCCCGAGAGGAGAATGGAGGAGAAGGGATTGCGGCGTGACCATCCCCCCCCCAGGGGGTGATTTCTCTCTTTCTGTCTCTATGTCTCTCTCTGTCTGGCGAGCGCACGTGCAATATAGCGAAAATCTCTCCAAAAAAAAAAGAGCCAGTAATTTAAATGAACTCCTTGAACTGGGTGACACCGCTGTAAGGCCTTGAGACCCCCACCTGCCACAGCTATATTTGTTTGGCTCAAATTTACAGGGATGAAGTAGCAAGACAGTGATATTCCTAGCAATATGGCAATGGGTAAAGTAGTTTCTGCAGAGGCTCTATAAAACCCCTAGTATTCAAGACGAGTCCTTTATTAGGGAAGAAACTTCAGACCTGCCTATCCTGGCATTATTTTCTAAATTCCACCTCCCAGCAGAGGCGTGGCAGCTAAAGCTTCACAGACATTCTCCTGATGGAACATTTCAGCATATTAAACAGCAGCTTACAAATAGTCAATGAGTCCTCTGCTCACACGCCTGATCAGCAAAAAAAAAAAAAAAAAAGAAAACTGAAAGGAGAGATTTGAGACTAGCAGTTGTCCTCACTAGAGACATTCAACGATGTGTTTTCTGTCTATTCATTCACCGTACTGACATGAACCATTAACATCTGCAGAACTTGTTTTAGCTGGCAAAAAGCTGGGTATCTGGGAATTGATTTGAAAGGTCAATTCATTTCCAAGACGGTTGAATTATATTCAAGATACCTTTCCCTAAAGCGCTAGAAGAAAAATAAAAAACGAGATCTCCAGTCCAGCTTAGACCTGACTTCGTTTGCAACGTGTCAAGCATCTGATCAGTGTTAAGTATCTCACGAAGAGGCTTTAAATTCAAAGCCAAGTGAAATTTAGGGCTAATCATCCACAAATCACATAATTCTGGATTTGAAACAGAGCGTGCAAATATAGTTTTCCTTTGAGTTTAATATATTTTTTTCCCCTCATTAGTGCATAAATTCTGCCCATTGCATTGTTGATTGTCAATGAATTTTGATTTAGAAAGTGGAAAGTGGAATACTCTTACTTCCTTTTATAGAATTCAATTGTTGTAAGCAGATTTATTGCTGGCCGTGGCTTTAAAATATTGGTTTCTCCAGAAGTCTATGTAAATAAACTGTAGAAACGGAAACTCTTTTGAATGTCCATGTCTGACAATGGCCAGATGATATAATTAGAAAATGAGCTATATGGAGAGGATTGAGAATAAAAATCATTTTAGAAGGGAGTCGCAATGCAAGAAATAATAAAGTTTTAGATCTCCTCAACTATTTCGAAAGTACATTTGGTGTCACAACACAGACGCTGCCAGACCAAACCTGGCAGGAAAGGAGAGTCAGTAAGCTTGGGGACGATTTCCTTCACGTTTCCAAAGCTTTGATGATTTTACCTAATGGGTTGTCCTGTCTTGACGGATTTGCAGTGACCGATGAATGAAACTGTACTGCCTGCATCCTTCAAAGCTAAACTTTAATTTTACTAGTCTGACTCACAGGAAGAACTACTCTCAGTCAGCATTTTCATAAGGAGATAAACATTTTATTTTTTCTTTTTTTGCAGAGGTTTTTGCTATAGGGTGTGTGCGCTCGCCAGGAAGACAGAGACAGACAGAGAGACAGAAAGCAAGAAATCAGCTCCCCACCCCCACTCCAGGGAGGATTGTGGCCATGCCAAAATCCGTTCTTCTCCATTCTCCTCTCGAGATCTTGGGCACGCATGCACACGTGCCCGGTGTGAGTTTAAGCCACCGGGTCTGGGACTCGAACCACGGTTGACTACATGGGAGTCTAGTGACATAGCCATTATGCTAACTGCTGGTCCCAGGAGATAAACATTTGACAGAGTACAAAAAGCATCTAAACTACATGCATTGGAGTACCCGCTAACATGTCAAGAGGGTCAATGTGGAATCCACTCCTTTTTAAAAAAATTTTTTGCTAGAGGGGGCATATACTCACAAGAGAGAGACACGGTAGGGGGTAGGAGTGAGAAAGTACCCCTATGGGGAATGGTCATATCATAGCCCCTTCCCCTCTGTCTCTCCTTCCTTCTGGGATTCTGGATACACACGCGCATGTGCCTAGCATTTTTCTCGAACTGTCAGGTCTGGGACTTAAACCCTGTAGCAGGTTGTGTGGCATCTGACCGCCTTAAGTACCAAGCCACGGAGCTAGCCTCTACTGATTTTTTGTTTGCTTGTTTCCACTGTGACTCCTCTGGTGTAACTAGGGGGTATTGTCGCTGCACAGGACACTTTTCGGTTGTGCCTTTTCTATTTTTTCTTTTTAAAGAATGATCTAACTTTATTTATTCATTCATTCATTTAATTTGACCAGAGAGAGAGAAAGAATGAGAGAGAGAGAGAGAGAGAGAAAGTGAGAAAGCAAGCCACCAGGTTCGGGACTCAAACTGAGGTCGGCCATGTGGGAGTGTCCAGCACCTTAACCACCACGTCACCTGCTGGTCCCCTCGGTCATGCGTTTTCTGAGAGTCATGTGGAAGCGGGTAAGAGGGCAAAGTGGTGTAGACAAACATCTGTACGGGAGCCTTCAGCAGGTTTATGAGGGTGTGTGGGCTCCTGTCAGGAGTGGAAGACGAGGTCCTAACAACCTCTAAGGAGGATGCAGTCTGCTCTGCAGGGCTACAGGAGGAGATTCATGACAGCTGGAGGTTAAGTATGATGACCGTAGCTTCTCATGAAGAAATGGACATGCGTTCAAAAATAAAAAATAGCCTCTGGCTTATGCCCTGATTAGCCATGCTGCTTCCTGTTCTCTGTTGCTGTCCTGGCCACTAGGGTGCCCTGGCCACCTGTGACTCCTCAGCACCTGAAGGGTGATGGCTCTAAACTGAGGTGTGTAAGTTGCACACTCAGTTCAACTTCTGAACTCTTAGTGCAGAGGAAAAAAATGTCGAGTATCTCACTAGTGAACTTTAATGGTGACTACATGTTGAAATGATAATATTTGGAATATAGGAGAGGCCTTTCAAAAGTTCATGGGACAGGACCAGCAGATGGCATAATGGTTACATCACTGGACTCCCACATAGTCAGTTGTGGTTTGATTCCCGCACCTGGTGGCTTCACTCACTCCGGGCGTGTGTGCGTGCGTGCCCAAGATCCTAAGAGGAGAATGGAGGAGAAGGAATTGCAATATGACTATTGCCCTGGGGGGTGATTTCTTGCTTTCTCTCTCTCTGTCTCTCTGGAAAGTGCACATGCCTTATAGCAAAAAAAATCTCTGAACAAAAAGTTCATGGGACATGTGTATTAGGAGAAAACTAAATAAAGGTTTTAAAAACTTTGCACCAAAAGGAACTCACACTTTAATTCCATTTTCCCACCAACTTTTGGAAGTCTTCTCATATTGATTTAAATAAAATATGCTGAAATAATCTTGGCTTTCCCGTTTGCTAATGTGGCTCCCGGGGTCTGAATTTACACCTGTGGCTTGCGTTGCGTTTCTGCTGGTCAGCTCCTGGAGGACAGGAACCCTGCTTGACCGATTGAGAAGTTGCTGGAATAAGCCTAGCGCTTGGCACAAAGTTGGCAACACAAAAATGTTTGTAAGGCAGCCTTTTAGAAGCGCTATGTGTGTCCTGGGTGTCCATTTTTAAAATGATGCTATAGCTGATACATGAATCCACTGCTATCCAGACACAGGGACTGGAATGGTTTGATAATTTTTAGAAACATTTCTCATTATCTGAACTCTTGCTAGTCATGACCTCAGTAAGCGAAACAGATCTGTAGAGCAAGGGACGCATGTACATAACAGGGATCTAAATTTTGAAACATAATAAGGACAAGACAACTGCACACCAGAGAAGCTGACTACCCTTCCTCATCTCACGGCTCTGTCTCCCCCAGAATCAGAACTCCTGTCTTCAGTTTTCTATCACGTTCTTATTCTTCTTTTTAAATACTTTTCCATGCACATATTATTCCTCAACAATACATTGCTTTCTTTGCATGCCTTTGAGTTTTGTAAAAAATGCATTATTTTTCAAAGCCTATTTAACATGGACATGGAAAACACGATTCCATTAGGAAGTCTAAGGCAACACTTCTTACCAAAGAAACAACATTTTTTAGCTGAAATTTACAGATGAATTATCCCTAACAGCTGACAAACCTTTGGGGTGAACACATTTAGAAGTTATAACTTGGGTAATGAAGTGGGTAATAATTATTCATTGAAACCACAAGACAATGTCTTCATAAAGAAAATTTCTTTCGGGCTGGCCCTGTAGTCTATCAGTTAAGGGAGTCAGATCCCAAAAAGTGGACTGTGGTTCAAATTGTGACCTACTGGCTTGAAAAACGTGCTGGATGGGTGTGTGTGTGTGTGTGTGTGTGTGTGTGTACCCCAGATCCCAACAGGAAGGAGAAATGGAGAACACGTGTGACTACATCTCACTGAGAGGGTGCTTTTCCCCTTACTCCCTCTCTCTAGTAAATGCATGTCTTCTAGCAAATAAAAGATAATTTTTGTTTTTTTCTGGAGAGGTTTTTGCTATAGGGTGCGTGTGCTCGTCAGAGAGACAGAGAGAGACAGAGAGACAGAAAGTGAGAAATCAACTCCCAGGGGGCTGGACACGCCGCAATCCCTTCTCCTCCATTCTCCTCTCGGGATCTTGGGCACGCACGCACATATGCCCGGCGTGAGTTTAAGCCACCAGGCCCAGGACTTGAACTGCGTTTGACTCCATGGGATTACAGTCGACACAGCCATTACACCAACTGCTGGTCCCCCAAACAAATTCTTTAAATATGTATACAGGGACAAGGATCTTAATTTAACCTCTTACCTCAATAATGTAGAGGACAATGTTCTTGTAGAAGCAGTACAAGATGCACTTGGAGACCCTGTTGTAGTTCCAGGCACCATGAACCATCAATAAATTCTTCAAATACTTGAACTGAAATAAAAGTGGGGAAAAAAAATGAGTGCGTTCCTCCTCCCGGCCTCAGCTGCCAGGAGCGTCTTTGGCGGAAGCGTGGCGTTACCTGCGCTATGGAGTAATCGGAGGAATTGGCAGCCTGTAGGCCTTCATTGCCGCTGATGCCGACCCCCACATGCGCCGTCTGGATCATGCTCACGTCGTTCGCTCCGTCGCCGATGGCCAGTGTGATGACTTTGACTTGCTTCTTCACCATATCAACAACTTCTGATTTTTGAAGAGGAGAAACCCTTCAAGGAGAAGAAAGAGTCAATGATACCTGTTTTCGGAGGGGGAAAAAGAATTTTGAAATGCCATCATCTTGAAAGATGAAAAGAAACCAAAGATCCAATGAAGAGTTCTTGGAGGAACCATTATGAAAAAATCTCAGGTTTGCAAATACTTCATTCTCTATTAGTCTGGTTGCCACACTAAGGGCAATTAAAAAAAAAAAAAAAGAGGCACCAGCAAATGGCATAGAGGTTATGTTGCTGAACTCTCATGTAGTCACCTGCAGTTTGAATGTTAGACCTGGTGGCTTAAAGTCATGCCAGGCATATGTGTGCATGCGCACAAAATCCTGAGTGGAGAATGGAGGAGAAGGGATTGTGGCATGGCCATTTCCCCTGAGGGGTGATTTCTCTTTTTCTGTCTCTCTCTCTCTCTGTGTCTTTGGAGAGTACACACACCCCTTAGCAAACAACAATAACAACAAGAACAAAACTCTCTAAAAGAAAAGAAAAGAAGCTTACCAAGGAAACCTCTAGGTTTAGAAGATATACAGCCTTGTTAAGAGTACTAGGTTTCCAGGATATCTGTATCAATTTGCTAAAGAAATGATGTTTGAGGGTGAGCAGGTGGCGTGGTGGTTTAGGCTGAACTCCCACATGGCCGAACGTAGTTTGAGTCCTGGCCTGGCAGCTTGCTTTCTCACTTTCTGTCTGTCTCTCTCTCTGTGTCCCTCTCTGGTCAAATTAAAATAAACATACAAACAAATAAAATAAAGTTAAATAAAAGAATTCTTTTTAAAAAAAGAAATAATGTTTCAGTACAGAAATTCTATTTCTTTTATTTTTTCATTTGTTTCGTTTTCTACTTATTTTTTATTATTCGTACATTCAATCGCGATACATCATTTAGATTGTGAAGAGACTTTACCCAGCATGATTTACACCTCAGTCCAGCCCAGCTGAGACCACCATACACATCCTCGTCAACAGGTAATAGACCTTATGTGTGTCCTCCATTCTAACATCAGAGTTTCCCATTCTTTATTTCTGAATTAAAAAGCTCGTAAAGACTGTTGAATGGTAGTCCAAATCTTTACAAATCTTACATAGTACCTGGAAAGGAAAAGCTCTGAGCTTCTGCATGCTGTTTCTAGGTAATGTGCTATCTACTCGAAGCAACTGAAAACACGACTTATATGAGCTGTTGGGAACTGGCTGAGTTCGACCTGTCCTCAGACCCCACGGTGAAACTCTATCCAAGCAAATACCAAGACCCTGATCACAGATCCTGTGCTTTGATTTCTTACAAAGACCCCAACCAATGATCAAGTAGAATTCAAGCATTATTTATTTATTTTTAGCTTTAGGGTACGTGCACTTGCCAGAAAGACAGAGAGAGACATGAGGTAGAAAGGGAGAAATCACCCCCACGGGGGATGGCCACGCCGCAATCCCTTCTCCTCCATTCTCTTCTCGGGATCTTGGGCACGCACACACACGCGCCCGGCATGAGTTTAAGCCACCAGGTCTGGGATTCAAACCGTGGTTGACTACATGGGAGTCCAGCAACATAGCGACTGAGCCAACTGCTGATCTCTCTTCTATAACATGAATCAGAACAGAAAACACCAGCAATAACACTTAAATTATATTTGGTATTAAACGTGGAGTCACTTTTCATACGTCTTTTAAACGTCATTAAACAATGAGAGAAGGTCTAAAGACAAAATGCATTCTCATAATTACCGGAGTATATTGTCAGCATTGTACTGGGGATTACAGAGAAGCACTAACCCAAGTCCTGGCCCAGCGAATTCTGAAGACAGTCCTTAAACAAGAATGGGTAACTACTTGGTCATTGGAAAAGTCTCGACTTGACTTTTCTGATGATACAATAACGTACACAACACTGGTGGAGAAACCCACCTCAGAGCTACCTGGTTTGTCATGGTTAAGCGAGATAGATGTGTAATAAGTATCTGCTGAAACATCTAGGAAATTATTCTATTCATTTATTTATTGCTATAGGGTGCATGTGCTTGCCAGAAAGACAGAAAGCAAGAAATCACTCCCTCCCCACCCCCGGCAGGGGAGATGGCCATGCCGCAATCCCATCTCCTCCATTCTCCTCTCAGGATCTTGGGCACACATGCACACGTGCCCGGAGTGAGTTTAAGCCCCTGGGTCCGGGTCCGGGAACTGAACTGTGGTCAGCTACATGAGAGTTCAGCGACATAGCCATTACGCTAACTGCTGGTCCCTATTTGTACAATTTTCACGCATCTAGAACAGCCATAATTCTTCCCAGTGTCTATCAAAAGCCACAAAACTGTAGCTGAGAGTAACTAAAACTAAGCTTTATAAATACAATAGGGATCCAATAGAAATCGGAAATACTGCTTTTTCTCCCACTTACATATTGATGGTATTTTATTTTTTTCTTTACCACTTGTGTGTCTGCATCAGGATGTAAATGGTTCACAGTTCTCCTCTTTGCTAGTTCTGCCTTTTCTTCTTTGGGAGAAATCAGAGACTATGGGAAAAGACCTGTGTCCCTGGCGAGCCCTGTAAACTCCGTTTCCCTTCTCGGTGGCTCAACCTAACAGATGGTGGTCGGCTGCCATACAGCCGGGACGGTACTGCGAGCGGGCGCACGGGAGCGCTGTTCGGGTGTTCTGTTGGCTGCGGTTCCTACACGTGTTATTCATAATTTTTTTCACTGCTCCGTGAACATGAGATCAGAGAGCTGGAAATCTTCACCGTTTAAGATGACTATAAGTGGACTATCTTTTTTTTTCTTTTTTAGTTTTTGCTGTAGTACACTTGCATTTGACCAGAGAAAGACAGAGACAGAAAGAAAGAGAGAGAACATGGTTAAGCAACCCCCCAGAGGTGATGACCACACCATAATCCCTGCTCCTCCACTCTCCTTTTGGGATTTTGGTCATGCATGCACATGTGTCTGGCGTGTTCCTCAAGCCTCTGGGCTCAGGACTCGAACTGCACAGTCGGCCATGTGGGATCCAGCCACCGTAACCTCCATGCCATCTGCTGGCCCCAGTGGTTCATTGCATATGGACCTTGTTTGTTAACGAATTAGCTAACGAATCGCCTTTTCAACAGAATGTGGACAAATGTTATACATATATGTAAATATTCAGACATATAATAAAGAAACATTGTAGGGAGTTGTCATGGGGAGCCCGAAGTAGTATAATAATGTATCCTATGGGCGTGCATTCTGGGGTTAATAACCTACAAAGATTCTCATATATACACAAAATTATACTGATACTACATGATCATCTCAAAGACCTATACAGTGAACTTAAAAATTACTCTAAAGCTGCCTTTAGAAGGTGACTCTAGAAAAATGTTTAAGAACGTGGAGGAATACGGTACTTCTTAATTTCCCTGAAGTATGTGACAGGTGACCAAGGCCTGGTTACTTGCTGAGCCTGAGGTCTGGTCCTGCTGGTATTTAGAGGGTAGAGTCATCCCTGGGGGACCTGCTGTTCGTCCTCTGCAACAAATTTCTTTAGATTTCTCCTAAGAATAGAACTCTGCTGCCACTGAGTCATAGTCCATGGACTCCTAAACGAACTACAAATAGACAGAAATATCCAACTTATGAGCTCTTCCTTGCATCTTTTTGAACTAAAATTTGTTAGGGTCACGCATACAATTTAATGTTTTTAAAGAATTATTCAATTAATTCATTAATTTTTCCATTTTAATTTGACAAGAGAAGGACAGTGTGAGAGCGAGTGAGAAAAATGGAAAATGAGAAAGCAAGCTGCCACGTCCAGGATTTGAACCGTGGTCAACCATGTGCAAGCCCAGTGCCTTTAACTGTCACGCCACCTGCTGGCCCCATTTATAAAATTTTAAATTGAGAAGAAATTAAAATAGAGCAAAAACAAAACAAAACAAAAAAACTGTTTCGTGTACCAAAATTACACATAGAAAACTCCCCATAGATTTATTACTGGAATAAAACAGTAGCTTACTTGGCAAACCCTAAAAATGGCATTTAGCATATGGTATACAATGAAACCCTCCACCAGGAAAGAGAACTGTGTTATCCAAACGACTGATGGGTGAAAGCTCTCCTCACTTCCCAAACCAACATCTGTTGATAGACGGCGTGGTCACAGGTATCAGAGAGCCCAGGTGATGGAGGGGCTGAATCTACAGAACTAAAATACAGACAGCCTTTCCACAGGACCAACCAAGGAAGGCAACTTTGAAAAAGATTTCCTGGGGACCAGACACGTGTGCATGCGTGACCAAAACCCCGAGAGGAGAGTGGAGGAGCAGGGATTGTGGTGTGGCCATCACCTCTGGGGGGTTGCTTTACCATGTTCTCTCTCTTTCTTTCGGTCTCTGTCTTTCTCTGGTCAAATGCAAGTGTACTACAGCAAAAACTAAAAAAGAAAAAAAAAAAGGATAGTCCACTTATAGTCATCTTAAATGGTGAAGATTTCCAGCTCTCTGGTCTCATGTTCACAGAGCAGTGAGAAAAAATAATGAATAACACGTGTAGGAACCGCAACTTTGAAAAAGATTTCCTGGCGTAATGGCTATGTTGCTCGACTCCCATGTAGTTGACCGTGGTTCGCGTCCCAGACCCGGTGGCTTAAACTCACGCCAGGCACGTGTACGTGCATGCCCAAGATTCTGAGAGGAGAATGGAGGAGAAGGGATTGCGGCGTGGCCATCCCCCCTGGGGGGTGATTTTGCGCTTTCTGTCTCTCTGTCTCTGGCGAGCACACGCGTGTTAGAGCCAAAAAAAAAAAAAAAAGAGATTTCCCATCTGCGATGCACTTTAAATGCGAAATTTCTCTTTCATGGAACGTATGTGGTCATTGGTGAACTGCTACTGCCTTCGGTGTCAATAGTTCAGATATTTGAGCGAGAGACTGTTCACATTGATCACGTTTATCTGGATATGCACGTACGCATGTGCACATGGATAGCCCAAGCCACTAATTGGCGAAGAGACCTTACTAAAGGCACTA